GATAACTTGTATCTAATTAGGCGATCGGGGTCTCTACAAGAATAGAAAAAACTGTTGCAGATAAAGCTAGTTTTCGGTTTAAAAACTTGAAAAACAGATGGATTTTTACTGATTTCATGCGCAAGTTTCACAGTAAGGTATGAATGCAAGTAAATTAAATGACGAAATGTGATAAACTGCGTGAAACTGACCCGCGAACCTTAAACTTGACTTTCCAGTAGAGTGGAAAGTGGTCAAACACCACTTCAAACTGGAAAAGTTTCATTTCTACGACGACCTCATAACTCAAAAACTCAAATTTTCACACGATAGTAGCGAAAGCCTTTGCGATTTAGGCGATCATTCATTCACAAACATTCACCATTAAATCAAGAACATGTTTATTTCAAACGCCCGAATTTTCGAGGCTTTGGTTTGGGTGCAATTTCGGGCTTAATATTTGCAGGCAACGGCGGAATTGGAGGAGGGTTTTTAGGGATGGGAACATTTTGCAGCTCCAACAGCTGCAAGCGAATGTCCATTACAACCAGCTGGTCCAGCTCTTCTGTGTAGTACTTGCTGAGTTTCTTCGGTCTGTCGTGCTTCATCAGCAGGAAGAGACCGTCGGCCCAATAACAGGCGGTCTTTTCATCTTCGGCGATGAACTTAATCTTCTCCTCGTGTTCGACCACAATGGAAAAAGCCTGCTCGGGGTTTTGGCACAGAGTGGAGTGCTGGCACGTCTTGCCTAATACTACGTGCGTGATGTCTTCGATGTTGAACGTCTGAATCAGCTTGTGGCTGGCGTTTGGCGCCTTCACGTCTACAACGTCGTAGACTTGAAGGTCCTTTAAGTTTTTGCCGAGTTTCACAAAGATTTGCCCATGGGCCTTTTTACCGAGCACTTTGGGAAACCGATCGCCCTCCATCAGCAAGTTGGTGCGGTTTTGAAACACGCAAAGCTCGTTCTTTTTCATGTACTGCCTTTTCAGGTCGCGAACGCAAGGATGGTCTTCAATCAGGTTCAATATTTCCTGCTCTTTCTCGTTCTGGGCGTTCTCGATAACCCCCTGAAAGGAGGTGCTCTTCATCTCCTCGGTCAATCTCTTGAAGTCCTGCGGTTTAGTTTTCAGGGCCATTCGCACCTGTTTCTGCAAAATATGCATCACCTTCGGGTAGTCGGCGTAAGTAGAAGCTTTCATTTCCCTTCGCGTGCGCGATAACAGCCACATCGTCCGCGAAAACAGTTCCAAGAAAAACGGGGTTTTGGACGAGCAGTAAAACACCACCGGCTGGTAGAAGGTGCTTTTACAGTCTGGCGGGTCCAGCCCGATATGAAGCATGCTGGCCAACATTTTCACGATTTTCTCGCTGGTCACGAAGATCCCCGGCTCATATAGTTGTTCTTCGATTTGCGACTGATGGAAGTTGCTGGGGTGCAGCTTTTTGTAATGGCGCAGCGCTTCCAGCGTCAGATGACTGATGGTGTTGTCGGTTTCGTTTTCCGAAACGTGCCGGGAAACGCGACTGCTGGGATCTGAGCGCATTGAGGCCAACGACAGCTTGGAGTCGCGATAGTTGAATGTGAGGTTTTCCACCGACACGTAGTTTTGGATGTTTTCCTCATCGAAGTCCATCAGAATGGTTATTCGGCGCATATCGTCCGAGCAGAGCTCGAACTCTTCGCGGCTGAAAAGGCTGTTGTCGTCCAAGGAAATTTTGCTGTGCAGCGCCTCACTGAAGAGGCTCAGCAAGTGCGTCTGTAACACGTAGAGCTCATGCTCCATGCTCTTGTCCAGAGAGCCCTCTTTTATTATGTTGCTGTAGATGTTCTCCCTGGTCTTGCGCAAGTTCATCTCCCTGATCAACTTGGTTTTTTTCTCGCCCTTGCAAATCCTGATGATGGTGTTGATGAGCAGCAGCGCACTGTACTGCAGGTCGCGTGAGGAGGTCCTCCAAGTGTAAGGGTTGAGTTCGGTTATCGCGACCTCCCGTACGATCCTCTCTTTCCATTTGCTGAACTTGGCATTGGAGCTGATTAAAATCTTGTGCAGCAAAGAGAGGGCGAAGCGAAGCTCCTCATTGGTGGCATCGGAGTTTCGCAGAATCTTCAGCGTTTTATCCAGAATATTCTGCGATGTGTCGTGGATGTAGCCTTTGGAGAACAAGTGCACCACTGTTCGCAGTAGCCCGGTTTGTTCTTCAGATGCCAGGTGATCTTCAACGAAAACTTTGACTAGAATCTTGTCTTCTTGGCTCAGCGCCAGCTCTTGGATGAAGATTGGGTCGAGACTGAGCCGCGCCACGTCTTCGAACGCGATCTGGCGCAATTCGGGGCTCTGTTTGCGAATGTTGTCCGCGATTCGTCTGATGATGTACTTGATGGAAAAGACCACTTTCAAGCAATCGCCGTGTTTGATTTCGTGAAAGTTGCTCTCGGAAATGTAGTGGTTCTTCATCTTGCTGGCGAACGGATTGTATTTCACTCCGTAAACGTCCGACTTCGGCAGGCCCAGTTTGTGGCAAATTGATGCCACATTTTCCTCCAGGCCGGCGCTTTTATCAAAGTCAAAGAGTGTTTGCTCTTTGCTATCGAACTTTTCGACTGATATTTTTGCGATTTTTGGCATCGTGACCTGAAGATCAGACAAGAAAAACTAATTATTTTTTCAATTTGTTGTTATTAGTTGGCAACAAATAATGATTAATTAATAAAAGTCGCGGGCAGAATGCGCGATTTTCATTATTCCACGCTGTATACAAACGGTTCGCTTTTGATATACAGAGTGTCAAAGTTGTAACGTTGTTTACAGGGTGTTCGGAAAATGCGTTAGGCGATTTTTAAGGGTGATGCAAGTCATGCAAGAAAAATTCGAAATCTGAAGATTTTTCGAGTTACGGCTCGTCAAACTTCAATTTTTTTGCGTTTTTCATGCAATTAAGTAGTGTAATTGTGCAAATTTCGATTTTTTGTCGAAAATTTTTCTAAGGGTGGGTGTCAATTATTTGAAAAAATTAAAATTTTCTCAAAATGTTTAAAATTTTACATCATTTTCAGCTCACTGACGCTAGGAATGCATCGAACATATTGAAAAACATGGTAGAAGTTTCCAATCCGAAATAATAGAGATTTTCGGCAAATTTTAAGAGTTTTTTGAGCGTTCACGATCTTTACCGACGATTTCTTCCTTATTATTGACCCAAACGCTTTATAAATGCATATTTGTGACCTTACACCGAAAGGAATCAATAGATCTAAAAAACACGCATCTTAAATTTTGATTTTTCCAAACTCCTGCAAACACAAATTTTCTTATAGACAGTGAACGTGTCGAGAATCAACTTTGCGAACATTCTGAGGTTCTATTTGGAAAATGAGTTAATCGCGGTAAAATTCAAAGCATTTTGTTCGGTTTAATCGCCTTTTCGACCTGCAGAGATCCGAGATGCAGTTTTTATAGACAATCGTTCGTTTTTCCACAAATTTCAAAATTTTCAAATCGACTCTATATTATCAGTTACGCAGAAAATTTCCACATGCAAACAGCTGTTTTTCCAAAAGAAAATCTACCTTAAATCCACAAAGAAAACGTTGATGACATTTGTGTTGAAGAATCGTCTTTTCGACCTTCAAACTCTTATGACATTCAATATTGTCAACTGATTTGAAGTTGCAAAATAGAAAATATCGCGCCAAAGATTGTTAACCTTCAAGAAATGTCAAAACATCAATCAATTTTGATATGTGACACTGACGTCACGACATTGGATGTCACGACAATCGCAGCAAATCAAGTCGTCTGGTTCTAACCTGTGCCAAATTTGACAATTTATAGTACTTATTGTACTGCTGTTCAATTTAGAGTAATTTTTTGTGCTGCATTGCAACATTTGAATATTCGCCATCCATTTTAATTTACTGCGTTTAAAGCAAAATAATTTAGTCTAAAGTGAACAGTGACACAATAAATACTGGAAACTGTCAAATTTGGCACGTTTTAAAACAGGTGACTTGATTTGCTTGACACTAACTTCACAGTAATAAAAAGTTTGATATCGATTTGCTCCTAAACGAAGAGGTTTTTCGAGTTTCATTTCGAGCACATTTTTTGTCTAATATTTTCTAATCTTTAAAATGGCATGTTCCTTTGTGCGATATTTGGCGCGACAAGAAAGATATGCAGAAAATAAAATTTGGATTGCAGGTAAAGTGCCATCTAGTGGCATAGTGTTGAAAAATAGTTTGATCAGAAAGTTAGAGGTCGGTAAGCTAGATCTCTATACTGATTCTCAATTTGATCTGAAAAATATTCAGACTTCGAATTTTTTCCATGCCTTACCACCATTATTTTAACATTCAGGACCTTTTTCTCTATTCAGAAATGTTTGTTGCACTACAAGGCTTATTTGCAAATTTGCAATTTTTGCATTTTTTTTTTGGTTTTTTCGTGAAAAATAAGTACCTGGAAGCACCATTAAAAAAATGTAATTTGTTGCAATCCTAAATGGCGCTCTAAAAATTCCAGGCGTAACAGAATATTCGCGTGAGAAAAAAGCATTCTTGCTCTTGCATGGTTTAAGTTGAAGCGCATTTTCAGGCAAACTAACTTAACTGAAACATTGAAAGGATTGTCGAGGATGATTTTGCGAAAACTACATATTCGATTGGAAATGCCATCTCTCCATGTTGCCCAATGGAAAAGAAATTGGAGTAGAACTGCCTACTCACCGCATCAGTCACTCCACTACACTCATCCAACGGTTAGTGGAACTTTATTGTTTAAAGTCGCAATTAAAGCTTCCGATGACACAACTTTGAACGCTGTGAAACATGGGTATTAACTAAATTAGGAATAAAGCGCGCTTCCCGTTATGCGGTTTATCTGGCCGAATGATTAAATAACTGATAAAGCGTTATCATTTGGCAAGTTGGAACTGACTGAGGTAACAGCAGGACGATTATTTCATGTTGATTTTACTTCGTTGATATACGAAACCACGGGCTTTCCATAAAAAGCGCATTTGTTTAACGCGAAAAGGCACGTTGGATGCTTTTTGTTTGCAATTTGATCATGTTTGACTATGACTTGTTCTTTTTCAACAACTAATTCACATAGAGATCGTTTCTGCTCTTTCGCATCTAACAAAGCAGGCAATTTATGTATTCCAACGATCAACGGCTTTTATTAAAATGCATCGTCCGACTCCACGTTCCAGAGGCTAAAAGGATTTAAAACACAGGATTAGTGCCGGAGTAAAACTGCATGCAAACAGCTAAATTTGCATTTTTATTATTCGGATATCTTTGTGTCCCAAAAAAGTCATTCCTCAACCCGAACTCGTTGCTGCACGATCTTTCAATCTGGCTTATGTTGTACGCGCTAGATCTGTTTAATGGAATTTTAAGGTTTAACGAAATGATACGAAACAAAAATTTGAAAAACATTCAAAATTAGGTATAGATGGAACCACATGGAATTCTCCTAGAGATTGCGTGTTATTGTGATTATATTATTTTCTTTCCTGGGCTCCAGTCACTGTGTGAAACAAAAAATGTTTTTGTATATCGTTTATTTCGTTAGGTTTCGGCGAGACAACAGCGCTATCATCAGATTTTAAAATTAATTCAAACTGCAAACACCAATTTACAATTAAAATATGTTGTGCAAAATCCATAATTTATAGTGTTAAAATATCAATTAGTTCTTGAGGAAAAAGAAACTTTCCTTTCGGGAGAGCAAAATATTTGAAAAACTTACCTCATAATTGGTAAACATTATATTCATTTAGGTCTTTGCTGTCTTTGCAWTGCAAAGACAGCAAAGACCTAAATGAATATAATGTTTACCAATTATGAGGTAAGTTTTTCAAATATTTTGCTCTCCCGAAAGGAAAGTTTCTTTTTCCTCAAGAACTAATTGATATTTTAACACTTTATAATAGGGATGGGGGAAAAGCATCGATGTTCCGCAAACATCGATGTAATTCGTTCGATGTTCGATATTTTTACCATCGATGTTGGAAATTTGGGACATCGATAAAACATCGATGTTAGATCCTGAAATGAGAACATCGAACATGTGATGTCGATACTAAATAGAAACATTTTCTGGAACTCTTTGGTAATGCCGATGCAAACGATACCGCCTCTTTTTGCAGTCAGTTGACCGAAAAATGTGGCAACTATAAATTGAATAAATTTAGTCTATTATTTAATGTCATAGTAGTAATACAATAAAATTATTTAAGTTTAAGTTAATCAATTTGAAATTTGTATGCAACGGCAAACTATCAGAACATCGATGTTGTCAAACATCGATGTTTCTTTAACATCGATATTACCTTCCGATGTCAACATCGATCGTCCTATTGAATGAACTTTAAAATCTGACGATGGCTAATAAACGATATACAAAAAAAAATGTTTCACACTGTGACTGGAGCCCAGGCAAGAAAATAATATAATTTCTCTTCTACTAATCATACTAGTTTTTTATGTAAGAAAATTGTCTTCACTCTTCAAAGAAATATCGGCAGTAAAATTAGTTGTGGGTATCTCAGGTTGCAGTTACATTTAAACGAAAAAATCCCAGTGCAGTTTAGCGAACATGTTTCAAACAGTCCATAAATATACTCGAATTCAATAAATTCGAACAAATATGAAGCCATTGTGTGCGCCCTTTTGAGCGGGCCACCATTTAACTTTGTTTCACGCTTGGAGAAATATCAAACATTCTGCCGTGTCTCCAGCCCCATAATTCTTTGCATAAAAGGGCCAAAAAACTTTCTCTTATTATAAAATATATGACCGCCATTCCATGGCCGAAAGTTTGAAATTTTACAACTCCTGGCAATTGGAAAAAATATATCACACATTGTTCGTTTGTGGTGCATTTCTAGCTGCTCGTTCCACATGTGCATGCCACTTTTCATGTTTAATAAAATTACCTTTCGAGTTTTTGCGCGCGTTCGGCTAGAAACATTTTTATTTCAGACGACAAGGTGSAATACAAGGCAACGTTCCTCTGTTTTTCCGGATTTATTTCGTCTATTTAACATATTTACAACGTCGCAAATCGACCAATTRATCTATAACACAAAATKATACTTCCATTCAATCTTACATTAGTTTGAGCCTATTGTACAAACATGTGAACAAATACAGATAAATCATGTTTGAACGTTGGTTTTGTTCTTTGSTGTCGATGGCCTCTTTCTAGGGTTTTCCGACCGGACCAGTTGAATTTTCCCCAATAATTTTCGTTATTTCAAATAAYTCAGTATCTATTGATAATAATCTGATAAAACATAATATTTCGCTCAAAATGGAAATAGCTAATGAGGGAATTACTCGCTGTTGTTATGCATATTAATCGTCATTGCCTGTGCAAATAATTGCATAAAGCGATTTAAATGTAATTGAACATAACAATATGGTGCAATTAAAGTTTACAGTTTTATCTGGCATTCTTCCGAAGAACTGAATACTCGTTTTTCGAAAAGCATTTACCTTCAAGGCAATTAATAGGATTTTTTCTGGCAAAAATAAAGCGAGCAAAACCTAGATTTCCTTTCATTGTGTGACGACCATTAAATTATGCCCTTAACATTAGTATTACGATTCAGTCCACATGTCTCCTGGCACAACAGCCTATGATTGGTTATTATCGAAAATTGGAAATAAAATCATTTTATACCCAGTTTACGATCCATAAAAGCTCAATCTTCTGCAACTGGTCTGATGAGGGTCTTTGGTTTACGATCCGAATAAAAATGGAACTGTACAGTAGGCATAATTTTATAGAGGCGAACTGAAATGGATTTTTATATGACGATTTCATTGAGCTCTGGATGCGGAATTTATATGTATATTAGTCCAGACAGATTAGACTTTAAAGGGTCTGTTTCGGGCGCTTACTGGATGAAGGTAGATTATTGGAAATGGGTCGGAAGGAGGGCAGAATATTGTTTGCGCGCAATTTCCGGCCGAGGAATATTGTTTAAATAATCAAGTAAAGTGCGAAAAACGGTTTTTTGCGCATAACTTTTGAACCGTTGATCCAGGCTAATGAAAACAGTTTAATCCTTTTTTTCGAGTATTCAAAATACCTACAGTATGAGACAAACCTAATTAAAAGGCGTTCATTCGTTTACTCAAAAAGCGAAAAAAACCGCCGATTTTTGCGGATTTTTTAATTTCCTATCATTAATTTGCTCCTAAAAAACCGAACTATAACTTTTTTGCTTTGCCCATAAAATTTGTGAATTTTTCTGTGGCAATGAAGCATGTTTTGATTTAACTTATAAGTGGTATAAGTTCTGGGTAAAATATGCACAATTTTTTCTTCATTTCTATATGTGATGTAAAAAATGCGATTGCAAGATTCTAAAAAAGTCTTTTTTGAGACGTCGGGGAAACTTCTCTGAGGGTCTATTTTACTCATGAAGAGTCGAACTACAGCGTACAATAAAGGAAAGGTTGATTACTGAAGGGAAAATTGTTTAAAAATTTAGTTGAAAATCAGGAATTTTAAATGTTGAAAGTTTAAGCAGAAATTATTTTTAGATAGAAGGTCCACATCGATTACTTAATTGCAATGATTTTTTTAAATATTTGATACGAGCAATAATTAAAAGCTTAAAATTTGCATAGAAACCAGAGCAATTAATCGATGTGGAAAATGCATTTCAAAACAATTTCTTTAACTTTTAACATGAAAAATTCACCTTTTCCTGTGTTGAACGCTGCAGTATAACTCTTTACTGGTAAAATAGACTCTCAGTTCTAGAAGTCGCTTCGATGTCTCAAAAAAACTTATTTAATATTGCCAGATTCTAAATAACCTTTTTACCACCTTACATAACAAAGAGGAATGAACAAAAACTTGTGAATATGTTAAGCTAAAATGTATACCACTTATAAAGTGTACAAATCTTTTCAATGAAAGAGTGCGATTTTTTAGAAGCAAAAGAAAATTAATTCTGGAATATTGAAAAAAAAAAAACGCAAAAATCGGCGGATTTTTTCGTTTGTTGAATAAACAAATCAACAGATTTTAAGTTAGCTTGTCTCATATTGAATGTAGGTATCTTTACTACTTGAAAAAGTGTTGAACTTTTTTTCAATCGCATAACAGTTAAAAAGTTATACATACGCAAAAGACGAAAAATTTTCCGCAATTACCTTCATTATTTCAACAATCAACAAACAATAATATTTCACCTTCACTCATTTAGCGCCTGGAAAATTTCTAACTTGACTGGACCATTATGTATACAGGGTGATTCAAAATTGGCGTATGACTGGAGTGGATTGCGCTTTATGGCCGATCACGGCTGGTTTAAAACATATCCTTAAGCAAAACGCGGAAAAACTTGCTCGACTGTTCAGTTTAGTGTGGTCGTGTTAATGTCGCTGATGAAATGCGGATGTCCAGAACGTTCTGCCAGCTCGCCGCTTTGAATGGAAAAGTGTCGGTAAGACATGTATTCTGGCGGTACAGCTGGTTGATCGCGTTTAAGGCATCGGCGCTCTTTTTTAACCTGAAACAGAGCAAAACATTGTAATTTTCGCCAATTCAAAACCAATTTACTGAATGAAGAAAATATGAAAGTAGCTGTGCATCTTTTCCAGTAGAATCAATGAAATATTCGCAGTTCTATCGACACTCAACCGAGCTTCAGTTGAGTCTACTAAATTATTTTTTTTACAAACTTCGTGTTGGGTATTTCGCCTCAAAAATTTGTGTCTTTAAAAAAGACAGAATTTCCTCACGTCTTTTATTACAGATTGATAAATAGTGCTCCTATTTCGCAATAAGAACGAATTATTTATCAAAAAGTAATCACCTAGAGGGTATCCTGCGACACACTTAGGCTCAAGCTGTAAGAGAAAATTCCAATTAGTAAAGAAATTAATTTGAAAAATTGCCTTGACGTTTCGATACCTATTTTCTGCTATCGTTATCAAAAGAACCTAAACGAACCTAAAAAAGAGGATGTTAATAAATTGGGTAACAATAGTAGGATAATACAGTATATGAAAATTCGCTCTGATAATTCGCCTGTGCAAATTTTCAGTTATGTAACTTTGACTTAATCTCATTGTTTAAATTAATAAAGGTAATGTTAATTAATAATTTTGGTGTAAATTTAATTTGGGTGTATGTTT